TTAATACTTTAGTTTCGCGTTCAAATCCTGCATATTCCCCTTCATTGCATATTCATATAACAATATTCCAACATATCTCCACAACACTAGTAGCAAGTGGTAAGCCAGGCTTGGATGCAATTCGGCAACGCCGCCAACGCCAACGCACGCGAGTCGGCAAATAAAACCGTCTATGAAAGGAAATTTTAAAAGATGTGATAGACCAAATAACCCAAAATGTTATAGGCCTAGCTAGTGCTTCTAAATATTTGAAAACCTTAAACCAGGACCAAAGTTGAGAGATATTGATAGGGTGAAAAATAGAAGAATTAAAAACCTTCGACGTTTTTGAGCGAAGGCTCTTCGTTGAGAAGTCTACTAGAGAGTTTGAGCAAGACAACGAAGTACGAAGACGAAGGCATACTTGACATTTTTTGCCGTATGTACATTATCTTGCGCATACTTAGTTGGACGTCACTGGTGGTTGCACAACGTATCTTCCCATGTGTCGCTGTTTATGAATACTGACCATAAATCTTGCCCTGATCCAGAAAAAACAGCGAGACATGAAACTATATATCCCGTCTTTGTCCTTCTGCCTTCGTGCAGAACGAGTTTCACAACGAAATTTGCCAAAGTATTCGTTGAGAACGAAGGCAGAAGACGAAGACGGGATATGTATTCATGTTTCGCTGTTTTATCTTGATCAGGGTAAGGATTTGGGTCAGCATTCACAAACAGCCAGGCATAAATCTCTAATCTGTCTTCACTCCTGACCCTAAACTCAGAATGTGCAAGGTAATGTGCAAGACAGGCAAATATTGTCAACCACGTCGTCGTCGTCCGACTTCGTTCTCTTGCTCAAACTCTCTATTGAGCGCTCTTCGCGTGCGTGAAAAGACTGGAATAATCGGTTCTGTTGGAGAAAATTCACGGCACGTAAACTGAGTTTGATTTTGATAAAATTAGTATTGCGGCGAATAATTTCATCTTTAAATAAAAAGTTTTAGCCAGGTGCGAAATCAACTGTAGTCTGTACTGATTACAAATTTTACATAAGGACATAATACATAATATGTGCTAATATATGCATTGCTTGAGCATAAATCAGTCGAATGTAACGAAGTGTAACGTACAAACAATTTTAGACAGCCTTTGGCTTTGTCCTTTGAGAATATTAACTCTTTCAAGTCGTGATCTGTTCTTGATCTTAGTTTAATCTTGGTAGTTTTTTACTGCACGCCGGGCTAGAGGCTTCCCGGTTTAACATAAAACCCTTATTGGTATATGTTCTACATAATTGCATGCCTGTTTTGAGGTCTAAAATCTACATGCCTATAAGCCGCTCAACTGAAAAATTAGGGCTTACAATTCGGTCACGGTAATTGACTTTTGTAGTAGGTATACAATATTATTGACCAGTTGTAACGAAGTCAGTAGACATTGGCATACCCGAACTAGTTTAGTTACAAATGTCTGAATTGAACTGATCAAAAGTTGATCTGGCCACAACACT